TGTCCCCTCTGACCCCTGTGACCCCCCCGTGTCCCCCCCTCCCCCAGCGACGCCCGTGCGAGGAGGACGCCCTCCGTGCCCCCCCCTACGTCAACGTGTCGTCGGTGGAGGACGTGGTGACCCCCCGGTTCCTGTGCTCGGGGGGCACCGAGCCCCAGGTGGACCCCAACACCTGCCGCGGTACGCACCAGTACGGACCAGTACGGACCAGTACGGACCAGTACTGCCCCCAGTACGGCCTCACGGGGCGCCCCCAGGGCGTGGCGGGGCAGCCCAGGGCGTGGCCCTGTCATTTAGTTGGTGCCAGGACATTTTAGTGGCACCCTGAGGTGTCTCCCAGTGCCTCCCAGTACATCCCAGTTTCCCCCACAGGCGACTCCGGGGGTCCTGTCATTGTCACCTGGGGGAAGCGCCACTTCCAGGTCAGTGGGAGATTACTGGGGGGGGGAACTGGGGATACTGGTTATGGGGTGGGGGAGGTGGTCCCGGACCCCTGTGTGACCCCTGTGTGACCCCTGTGTGACCCTGCCCAGGTGGGCGTGGTCAGCTGAGGGGTGGTCCCTGACCCCTGTGTGACCCCCATGTGACCCCTGTGTGACCCCACCCAGGTGGGCGTGGTCAGCTGGGGCATGGCCCCTGTGTGACCCCTGTGTGACCCCTGTGTGACCCCGCCCAGGTGGGCGTGGTCAGCTGGGGCATGGCCCCCGTGTGCCGGGACAGCAGCTCCTCGTCCCACACCCGCGATTACCACGTGAACCTGTTCGAGGTGCTGCCCTGGCTGAGGGACAAGCTCAAGGACGAGGACCTGGGGTTCCTGCCCTGAGCCCTGGGGACACGCCAGGACACGCCGGGACACGCCGGGACACGCCACGGCCACCCGACCCCACAGGGGTGGGACGCGGAGGAGGGGGATCCGAGCGGGCTGTGGGGCCAATTTCGGGGGTCCCTGTGGGTCTGGAGGGGTCCCCATCCCACCCCAATGACAATAAAGATGGCCACGTCCCTGCTGACCTTTATTGCCCCCCACGCAGGCTCCTGGGGGTCCCTCACTGCCCCCCGAAAAGGTCCTCGTTGTACACGACCTGCGAGCGCTTGTCGCGGTGGGAGCCCTTGGCGCTGTTCTTGACGGCTGGGGGGTGGGGAAAGGGGGGTCAGGGATGTCGGGGGACCCTCCCTGGGACCCCCTGACTCCCCCCCAGACTCACCCAGGGACCCCCAGAGCGACTTCCCGGTGGCGGCGTCGAGCAGGGGCTGCTTGCGGGCGATGCTGACCTTGAGCTGCACGTCCTGCACCACGGCCCCGTTCAGCTGGGGGGGGGAAACGGGGGGTCAGGGGGGGCACAGGGACCCCCAGGGGCACGGGGACCCCCAGAGACCCCCCCAGAACACCCCCCCCAAAGCCCCCAAACCTCGGCGATGGCCTGGTCGGCCGATTCCATCTTCTCGTAGGTGACGAAGGCGCAGCTGAGGGGGGAAGGTCATTAATCCCACAACCATTAATCCCACTCACAAACACGCCCACCCCCTTTTGGCCCCACCCTTAACTCTCAGCCCCACCCAACCTCAACCCCACCCAGTCTGTGGCCCCGCCCCAATTCTTCACCCCACCCACAAACCGTGGCCACACCCACATTCGGCCACACCCACATTTCACAGCCCCACCCACAACCTGTGAGCCCAGCCACCCATAGCCCCACCCTCATTATTGGCCCCACCCAGCCCTATAACCCCACCCACAGCAGGTAACCACACCCACTCTTAGCCACACCCACAATCCACAGTGCCACCCGCAAACAGCCCCACCGGCTTTAGCGCCACCCCAAAATAACCCCACCCCCTTTGGCTCCACCCCAAAATAACCCCACCCGCTTTAGCCCCACCCCAAAAATAACCCCACCCA